CCCCCCTCCCGATCCCGGCGTACCCCACACCGACCGCATGAATAAACGACCCGGCTTGTAGCCCCAACAGACCCAATGTCGATTAAATCTCTTTTCTCTAATTTTGTGAAACCCTCGGAATAGATCTAGCGATGTAGCCGCATCCGCCTACCCCCATGCCTGCCAAGCCCTGGCTAGCCCTGGCCACTTGCACTACCTGGCTATGTGTCAAAGCATGCTAGGGGTAGGTCTCTGGCCAGAGCCTCGCGCGCTGGTGTCGCCTCGTGGATGCTAGCGTCGCATGGCGGTGGGGAAAGGTTTTCATGATGGTCATTGCAACGCCTGCGTCCAAACATGCCTCGTTGGAACAGATGCTGTAGGAGCGGTCCGGAAACGGCTCCCATTGCAACACGCGCGTCCAAACGCCCGCATTTGAATACATCGTGTTGACCAGGCACTGCGAGAGCAGTCCAGGATGGCTCTTATTACATCCCACGTAGCGTGTTTTCAGCGATGGCGGAGAACATGACTATACATCGTTGCAACAGATGGTGTGTGGACGGCTCCCTTTGAAACGCGCACATTCAAACACCCACATCCAAATACACCGCACTGGAAGGGCAGTGTGAGAGCAATCTGGGTCAACGGTGGGTAGTATTTCAATGTCACAGTGCGCATTTAAGAATCATGCGTGGAAAATGCTTGCTTTGGATGAGTCTTCGGGCCCCTCACTAGTGTAAGGGGTCGCCGGTGAGGATTGCTCACCCCCTTTTGCATTTTGGGCCGCCTTAGCTGAGGAGCAATCACGACATGTCGTGAAGAGTCGCAAGGGGGGGCCTTCATGGGGAGTGGTGCAAGGCGTTCACGGTAGACGATGGCCACTTCATATATGTACGACGACTACATTGATTACAACATGCAGATGAGAGTATGTCCGATACGGCGGCACAGTGCCTCGATGGAAAATGCATGATGGGACCCGTACTTGGCGCGGCCACGAGAGTGAGGGAAATAATTCTAAAGCTCTTGGACGATAGCGGACGTATTTGCGAGGAGTAGCGCGCTGGAGGTACTTATGAGAGGGACAAGCGCAATGCACTCGGTACCAGCGCAGGCATATGTCCTCTACTGAAGGCGAATGTCAGGAGCAACATGGAACAGAGCCATGATTCACCGCACCAAGAGTTTTTCCTAAGTGCACCGGCTGGTCCCAAGGACTATAGGCGGTCGTGGTCGTGGTCCAAGACGAGGGCATGCTGTGTAGGCGAGGGTTAGAGCCAGAGAAGACATTGGTGAGATCATGAGCTCACGGCTACCGCCCGCGAGTGTCGAGTGCCGCTCGATTACCAGTGGTCATAGAGAGGGAGTGGAGGAGTACCCGATATGCCGGTATGGACTCGCAAGGACTGTCGAAGCGTCGTGAGGGCGTACTAGTAGATGAGAAGCGTTCAGTCAGCGAGTAGCAAACTATCGCGAGAGCGAGGGCATAACCGAGACCAAAGTGAGGGGCGGATACACAGAGATACAGAGTCGGGATCGACTCGCGCATAGGGTTCATAACATCACGTGCTCAATCAGGGATGACGTATGGCAGCGTGCACCGGTTTTATAATCCATCATTATGGTTGACGACCGGTTATCAAACCGCCGTCCTTTACGGCTGGGATTTGAAGGGATGGAAGGCAATTACATACCAGACGTGTGTGAGCGGAGTGTAGGAGTTTGAAGGCAGACAAAGGGAGATCGAAATGCGCACATGAGCGGTCCCAAACACGAATATCGACCGTCAGAGGAGCTTCTGCTGCATTATAAGCGCATCCCCGCATAGCACGGACGAAGTGGCGCATATGTTCATGCCGCCGCTGCCGGTGTCACAAATGATGACTTCAGAACTGAATACGAGTGAATGGGCGATCTTGACACACACCGTATGTGGGGGAATAAGCGAAGGCTAGATGCATTCAATGCTCAAGAAGCTTGTTCGACAGCATAAACGAAGCCGCGCCACCGACGACGTTTCCTGTCTGAACACCATTCAAACAGCGATGAATGATCGACCGCCGCCGCTGAGCGCTTGAGCGCTGGGAGTCGGCGACGTTATCCATCCCATCGCTCTTGATGGCCGCAGATAAATCGACGAGCCAGTTCGTACGCGTCCTAGATGTCGGACCTGGTGCTCCGGGAACTTAAACTGATGGCGTGCGGGAGGAGGTGTCCCGGTGGGACCAGCGCGATCGCAGGATCACATATGTAAGAGAGGCGTGCTAGCGATGTGGTGCCTTGTGGGCGACGCGCGTGCATACGATAGTCCACGGGCGGTCCACGATCAGCTCGCCAACTCCGACCTATCATGCTAGTGTCGTGAACATCACAACTTTCACCCCTTCAGGTGCGCTCGATTCGGGCTCCTGATCTCAATCGAGCTCCGGTCTACGATGATAGCCGTAGGTAACTGGAGTTCGAGGTGACCGGGTGGTAGCTTGGGTCGGAGGAACATCGAGGTGTAAGGAACAAGGCATTCGTGCATGCTGTCGGCGTCGCAACCGAGTATCCCAACGATGCGAGATGCGTCATGATCTGCACTCGGGCCTGTATATGGGGATGCGTGAAGCCCGGGCAGGGGTGGCGACAAATGCGAGGGCTGCGCCGCTAGCAGGTTAGCCGCTGCGCTCGACGCGTCGTATGGACGTGTCGGACCGGTACTCGATGTTTCGTGCAGGCTAGTATAGTCGACGCGCATACTGCGCGTACAGTGGTCCCGTCTCTGATCATGACACTGAAGAAATTCGTGAACTACCTGAGGTAGGTTAGAGCTCGCGCCCGAATATATGCGATGAGTACAGGTTGACGAACCGGCTAATACATGTTGCGCAATATACGACGAGCGCGCGGTTCTGCGATACCCATCCCCGAGGAGACACGAGATGAAATCGAAGGTCAAGATCGCCGAGGTGAGCTGTACGTTGGACGTTGCGCGCCGCGACGAAGACGTACGCGGTCGCGCGCTGATCCACGGTCCAGAGCCTGCGCGTTGCACTCGCAAACCTGATACTGGGTTACAGTAAAAGGGCATGTTCACAGCGACCGGGCTGAGGCCGTTGATGGTCGGGCGTTTCAACTGCGAACAGGTCCGAGGCAATGAGGCAAATACAGGCGAGGGCTGTACAACGCGGATCTGTGGCGCCAAAAGTAGTAGCAACTCTAACGAGGGTCTTACCCTTAATATGCAGGGCTGCGCGGCGCTTGGGTGAAGGATATACAGAAGCGCTGGTTGTGAGTGAGGATAGAGTGATATATTTCGAAACGCAGATGTAAAGCGGCGCAGGGTGCATGTACATATGCGCATGCAAGCGTATATCTCGGAGCGGTACTTCCATCCAAAGCTTCTATCGTACGGCGATTTCGTCGATAAGAGCGGCATGGAGACGCTCGTAGTCGTTCATAGACCTGGTATATGTACCTAGAACTCGTAGACTGGAAGGTACTCGGCACTCGGGACTTGGTGGCGTGGTTGATCGAATCTGCTAGCCCAAAGCGGGAGGGCGATTGGGCATGCCATGATGGAACGAGGCAGCGCGTGAGCGGAGGCGGGCGCCGGGCTGGGCGCATACGGTCATAGAAGTATGTCCAATACGGGACGCAGCACAGCCTGGCGCGCACCCGAACAAGAGGATTGTTGACCGTGTTCGGCGCAGTAAGTAGCGGGGAATAAGGATTGCCACAGGAGTCAAGGGGAAGGTCCGTCGGGACGAGAAAGCAAAAAACGAATTGGGAATGGGAGACGGGATCGGGGAGCGACGGTTCCTGAGCGATCGCGTCGCGGAAGTGAAGGGAAGAATTGATGGCGCGGGGCGCGGGCAGCCGGCGGTTGGGGCGATGGTCGCGTCGCGACAAGACGGCGGCGGGATGGGCGCTTAGGAGAGGCAAGGAGAAGTAGACGTTTGATGTCAAGGGGTGGGCAAAGAGAGAGCGAAGCGGAAGAGAGATGTTCCTGGAGGGTCAGGAGGCGAGGGAGAAGAAGGCCTGCCTGTTGCGGCATAAGGCGGGAGATCACCTAGGCGACTAATTATGCGGCGGCATGCTTTCTGTGCGTGCAAACGAGGAGGCGAAGGGCGCCTGTATGAAGGGGCGCGTAACAATGGACTATCTATGAAACGTACATGATTCGCGAATATTGGGGGCAACGTGGAGGGAAGGGAGGGGGTGTGGCGAGGATGCTGAAACGGCGCGGGTTGGGAGCGCGTCCGAATTGGGTAAATTCGGTCGAGGGCTTAGCGCCTAGATATATTTGCGGGAGCCATCAATTCGCGGCAAGCTTCCTCCCCTTCTCGCCCGCCGCCTCTCTCCTCCTCCTCCCGCCTTCCCGTCCTCTCCCTCCCCCTCTTTCTTGTAAGAAATGGCACAAGACTCGCCCCAGGCCTCGTCTTCTCACATGATGAAGACGACAAAGCGCGGTCGCCCATTCTTAAAAGTACGAATATCTCGCATCTTTTCCCGCCTATTACGCTGCTGACGGGTACCCGCATAGGACACGCTCGATCTCTTCGCGACATTGATCGTCTCTCTCCAGCTCACAACCCACAAGCAGTTCTTCCGTACATTTCCTAATTCCTTCACAACGTGCGTTTCCCACCCCGCCGTATCTGTATTCCGGCGCTTACACGTGCGATAGCGACGAGGCGGCGCTGAACCTCGCCAGCCTCAAGTTCTCGCAGTCGAACCGCGGGCCGGACCCCCGAGACCCCTCCCGGGTGATCACGACGACGACGACGACCACGTTCTCGATGACGCGCGACATGGCAAAGGCCATGTCCCAGCACTTCATGGATGCGCGGCTGATCGAGAACGCCGCCGATCCGTCCTCGAATTTGTTCAAGGACCGCGGCGTGTACGTCCTCACGCCCAAGGGCCTCCACGTCCTCGAGCGCTTCATCACCCGCAACGGCATCAACGGTGACCACCTATCGCACGTGTTCGCAACCCAGCCCATCTGCATGAAGCTCTTGCATCTCGAGCGCCGCTCCATCGACGACGAGATCATCGTCTCCCAGTCGGTCATCACCGCCCTATTCCGCAGATTCGTCGGTCGCACCGCCAACTACCCGCCAGACAACGTAGACGCCCTCGGCTCAGAGCGCGCCTATCACGAACGCTCCAAGGGTATCCAGCTCCAGGAATCCAACGAGCGCTCGGCCGGCAAGCCCTCAACTCACCACAGGCACTGCTTCATGGCGCTCGCAGCCCTCGAGTGGCTCTGTGACTTTACTAGCGTCGTCGGCAGGGAAGAGGCTGCAGAGATGGCCGCACAGTTCGTCCGCTTTGGTCTCATCACCCTCGTGTCCGACAAGCGCAAGAACAACGACTCGGCTATCATCTTCACCGTTCGCGGATCCGTGCCCAACGGAAATTCGTCTGTCCAAGTACGTGTACATTCGCCCGCTTTTCGCCCGCTTCCATGACGCTAATTGTCTTTATTTCTATAGCAAACGGGTGAATTCCGTTGCACAGCCAAGGCGATCTACAAGATCACAGAGGAGGGCATCCGTGTCGCGCGCTGGAACAGCAGCGGCTCCGCTCGCGAATCCCCTCACGCCTCGACGACGAACCTCACCGAGCGTTCATCCGTCGACGACAAGGAAAAGTCGGGCGAGGCCAAGATTCACCGCCGCATCTCGCTTGCCGAGAAGATGAACGCCCAGGAGCCCAAACATGCAAAGGAGTCCAACACGGAGCGCTTGCGCTTTATCATCGATCAGCCGCAGCTGCGGCAGCTTTTCCGCGACTTCCTGCGCGACAACTTCTGTGAAGAGAACCTGAGCTTCTGGGTCGAGGTCGAGGACTTCAAGCGCAAGTTCAACATCACCTCCAGCGCGAGCTCCGCCCTGCAACCGCCGCCCGTACGACCCGCTGGCGCGAAGAGTACTCCCGGGCAGGTTGCGATGGAACAACATCACGAAGCGCTCATCCAGCAGGCTTTCGAGATCTACAGAACGTATCTTGCGCCCAGCTCACCGTCCGAGCTCAATATCGACCACGGCTTGCGGAACGAGCTATCCGCGTACCTCTCTGAGGTCATGCAGAGCCTCACTGGCGCACCGTTCCAGGGTCGTCTCGAGGCTGATCAACTCAGCAGTTTCAACGCGACGCAACTCCAGATGATGATCAAGCTGTACGAACGCATTCAAATGCACGTCTTCCGCCTCATGGCGACGGACTCGGTACCGAAGGTTTGTTCGCTTCCATTCCTGTTTGCACCTCGTGTCAAACTGACGGTCCTCGTTCAGTTCACGAAGACGCCGCAGTTTGTCGAGTTGCGGAAGAACAACGAAGACTACGACTTCTTGGACAGCGATGTGCATTATCTGTCAAACTCAGGGCCGTCGGTACCGCCGGGTCTCGCACAAGACCAAGAGGAGATTGGCGGCGCCTACGTCACCGTCAGCCAACAGGCGTCTAACGCGCGCGCACGACAACACGAAGCAGCACATCACCCTCAGGCCGTGCCAAGATGGGATAGCCGGTAGAGCTTAGAGCTACCGTCTCGTCCGCCGCCTGTCTGCTCTCCAGTGCTCGTGTCGTGCTCTCCTTCGGCCTTTTTCGTTGCTCTCGCCGCGTTCATACTTTGCCATTCGCTGTCGTCCCTGGGAGGTTCCTCGTCGCTTGTTGTTTTCACGTACATATGCTGCTCTATTTCGCTGCCCCGTTCGTGCGCTCGGCTCGTCGTCCCCGGGTCCCTCATTTCTTTCACCAATTGCCCCACCCATCGTCTGCTGCATTATCTTCCTATCCACCCCGCATCACGCAGTGTACCCCATCCCACACCTGCTACATCCAACCAAGTCAACAGTCACAAGAGATCTCGTGTTTTTTACTGTCCTGTCTCCCTCGCGTTCGACCGGATCCCGCGTTTGTACCATCTATGAACCCTAGCCCCTCACCCCATCCTGAATCTACCTTACACTATTCCTTATTACCACTCGTATTTGCCTCGCGATATTTGAGACTTCGTACGGGTATGAGCGACGTATTTCCAGACCTAATATCTCATTGTGTTCAAACCTCCTTCCCTTGCTCAAAGTCTTTCTACTGTTCCTTCCAAGTATACTCACTTTCTTCGTACCGTCGTCTCTTACCCATACTCCTGTTCGGACCATCTCAAATCGCACAACACAATCCTCCGCTTCATCAATCCCTCTCCGCTCCGTCCGACCGTCTCTAGTACCTATCTAAACAATCTCGAGGAACCTGGCTCACGTACCTCCGTACACTGACGACCTAACGCACGCACGTACACATGTTCGGGCAATGCTATCTTGTTCAGCTGTACTTACAACCCGCCAGCGGGCGCTTTGTTGGATCCACACGTTATGCGCGGTGTAAGTTCATACGCCGTTCTTCAGTGGCCCTGGGCGCGTTCTAACTGAGTCAAGTTCGTGCGTGAGTAGGTGTACATGACGTCTGGTGTACTGAATGCTTCTCCCCGAGTTCACCTTCGCTTCTGAGACCGCAAGACTGCACGTCTGCGCGATGGCAGCGTCCTCTCTTTCCCGGATGACGACACATATCGTCGGCCATTTCTTCGCGACCAATCCAGCTGCACAGGTTCCCTCTGACCGCTGACCCTGCACGCCTATCTTCTCTCGCGGTACAGAATTATAGCGCTATAGCTTCGCTTTACGGATACGAAGTGCTTCGGACGCGGCCGCCTTTCTCGCGACTATTGTCATCTGCTCAGAAGCATGTAAGTCTGCAGCTTCTTCGTGCGACGCTGAACGAAGTCCCGCGTCTCCAAAGTCCAGCATCACAGGTGTATTTCCGGTGATCATTCGGGAGCAAAGGGCTGCATATGCTCTGGGGATATGAAAGGGTTCTGCCGCCGGTCTACTCGCCGTCCGCAGCGCTGCTCGAGTTCCTTGGCCTGATGCTAGACACCTTATTTTACATACACTTTCGAGTTGTGAACAGTGCGCTTCGTGGGCTTCTCGACCACTCGCAGATCTGCAAGGCTTGATTAGGATTCAGGTACATGGCCGAACAAGCTCGCTTTATGAGCTGTGTGTTCCGTGTTCACCGAATGTATTGTCTATATGCGCGACTGTACGTTGCCATTGTCATCCGGACGGCCGCAAGCGACCAACAGACCAGCTGTCATCTTTCTCCACTCCATCCCTAAGCAACTCGCAGTTCAACATCGGACGCTAGACGCGCCCAGACCAGACCCAGACGCGACAGCTCATATCGCTCGAACACCCTATCCTGTGCACGCAGCACACGTTGATAGCAAGTCGAGTATGTACTGTATACGTACGCTGGAGATCTTGGACCCGGCGTACGCATGGCGAATCGGAGTGTGAAATGGGACATCGCAAAACCTTCGCGGAGTTAGTGCATGATGGTAGGAGGGTACGGTGCTATGGCGGTCGCCAGGTGAATACGCAGTTTGTTGACCGTTGCGGAGACGGGGTTGACGAGGACGGCGACGGTGATGTGCAGTAAGGGGGTGGCGCAAGCGATAATTGACAGATAACGACCAACACTACCAGCATCACCGTCAGACAGCTTCAATCTCCAGCCAATACGATCATGCCATTGACGACCAAGAAGGGGGTCCAGGGACGCGCACGCCAACGCACACATATCGTATATCACGCTTAGGTACGCGTCCAGAGTACATGTTTGTCTCACGCTGGAGTTGACGTCGGGGGTGAAGATGCCGACGACGTGGGATATTTTATTGTATGGTCGTGTGCACGCGGGATGGCGGGCAAGCGGAGACCTTGAAACGTGAGTATTCTCTGTAAGGTTGCCGTACAGCTGTACACACATCAGGCCGTCTTTCGGCTTGATTTTATGCCCAGATATATCATTATCGCCCGCCGTGCAACTTGCGCCTCCCATCCAGTGAGTTGACGTCGTTGGAAGTAGCGCCACCAAAGTAGCTAACCCGGATCCGATGGCCGCATGTGTCAATTGGTTCAAGTCCATGCTGCGCTGGGGATCGCCAGACGAATCAGACTCTCAGGGATTTGCGCCCAGGAGGACGCCGAAAACCCACGTACCTGTTTGATACAGCGCCTATTCGTCGTACCTCATCAACCGACTCTGACTGCGTATCTCAAACGCTAACACCAGCCGTTGTGACGGTTGTATAGTGCTCGATATGGGGAATGCGCGAGTGCGCCCGCCGAA